CCCGCGTATGTCACAAAATCCTCGTTATCTGCTTTAACGATGTTTAGGCATCTGCATCGTGTGTGGAACAGACTATTCCTTTCGTCAAATATTTTTGACAGAATACTTATAGTTTCTTCAAATGAAACTTCTTTTGGCTTTCTGGGCAATATCAAGTTTGAGTACTTCCTATTCTCGTTTGTCTCTAGTTTCTGGACTAATAATGTTACTCATTCCTCATCCGACCAATGTTGACATCTCTTGGTAAATATAGTTTTGAAACGTTTAAAGTATGCTGGAAATGTAATGCCCGAATCAGGATCATAAATAAATTCAGATAATGAATTTGCTATTCCTTCAGCAGAAAAAACAGTATTTTTTCTTTCTCCAGTCGCCTGTTTCAGAATTTTTTTGAGATTTTTTGCTGTTGCAATATTTGTTGTTGTAAGTCTTGGTTCTTGGTGCTGTTTTTGTTGCTGTTGTTGTAACTCTTGATGCTGTTTTTGTTGCCGTTGCAAGCTTGTACACAGCATTTTAGTCATTTCGACTAATTGCTCCATCCTGACTTTATTTAGAATTCAAAAAAAAAAAAATTTTTTTTTTTTTTTTTTTTTTAGACGGTTAACAGACAATTTACAGCCGTAATATTTTTACAACCCGTAATTTTTACTTGGATAATCAATTATAAGACTGGCTCACATTTGAGTCGCGGTTCAATATATATTTTTCAAATCACAATTTAACAGTAAAAATTTTCTTACTTTTCAAAAAGTTTTTTTTGACTTGAGACTCCGCTTTCAAACTGTTCAGCGTAATCTGATATATATATATATATATATATATATATATATTTTTTTTTTCTCAGGTAAATACGTTGCACAATCCTCGTCACCAGCTGTTATATCTCGTGCAAGATATAATAAACAAAGTAAACCCGAGTGTTGTTTTTCAATAATAATTTTATAATCAGATGTAGGTATGTCAAAATACTGAGACATAGTCAGGAGTAAGCTAACCGCAATAGGTGTTAACAAACGAAGACCTTCTTCTTGACTGTCCGTGGTGGTCGTACTTAATCGGCAACCAGTCCATCCATTATCGTGAATGGGGAAGTTGGGTTATCTCATACAACAATGAGCTTTGCTCTTTGGAACCTCAACTTGAATTTAATTGCAGTACTATATTGGCAAGTAGGTCTCATCATTTTACTGTTAAACTTGATAAATGTAACAATAAGCTCTCTTCTGGCTTTTTGCTTTGCTGTCAACTATGATCTTCAAAAATTTAAATGCAATGTTAATTGTTATCTTGTCTCCTTGAATCCTTTTCTTTTATTGTTCTCTCTTCTCAATGTTTCTCTTAGATTCTTTTGCTTTCAATAACCCCCTTGCATTTTAGTAGATTTATTGCATTGCTTGGGTTAAAATGATTTAAAAACAGGGTGGGGTGCCTAATCACTTAGAACAAAGATGTTACAGTGAGAAACTCATTATGCAATGAAAATTTCAGTTAATAACCATGTGAAATTTATTGATGCACACTTATTGTAGATCAGGGATTAAAACATTTCTTTAATTACTTAATTATTTAGAAAGTTGAGTTAATTTGTTGAATGCAATGAAAAATATTTTACTGATTTTTTTTCTGCTAAAGCTTGATTTCAATTGGTTTATTAATGTCTGCCATCTACATGAATGCATTTAATGTTCTTTGTATTGGTTATTCATCTATAGAATCTTCAGCAGTTACTGATATATTTCCTCTTTTTAGTTGCATTATGTTAAAATGAGAATGAAACTTTGTCAATAATACAGCACCATTAAATTGTAGTTACTCTGTAAAACTATTATATTATATTATATTTTTTTTTTATATAATCTCTATTGCCCCAAACAAGGCAGTACTAAGACACAAAGGGTTACAGGGTGTGGAAGTATTAGAAAACAGAAACACTGTTAAGGAGTTAGAATAAAAGAGTAATAGAGGACAGTAGATAGTGATTGACATTGCATTTAAACTTTTGAAGTTTAAAGTTGACTGGAAAGCATGGAGTAGGGTTCCCACACATCCTGGAAAACTAGGAAAATATAATTTTTCCAGGATTGGAAACCCTGGAAAAGTGGGTGTTTTATTTTTTTTATTTTTTTTTTTAAATCTGGAAAATGTTTGTATCTTATCCTGGAAAATTTAAATTATCTGAGAACCTCTCTCTCAAATCATATAATTAATGTTACAGTTAACAAATATACTCTGAATTATTTTAAACATGGGTTTGATATTTTGCATTCAAAACTGGATATTTTTTAAATGTATTTAAATATAAACTTGTTTCAAATTTCAGGGTGAATATAAAAGATTATTTCCCTTGGATTTCGGATTTCATATTTCATTTTTTAAAACTAACCAAAACCCATGTCTGAAGAATACAAATTATTGTTTATTATTTTTTGTTAGTTTAGACTTACTTGAGGAATAAAATAGTCAATTTTGAGTAAAAGTATTATTAGGTGAATTAATTGTAAATGCCAGTTTGAAACTTTTAATAGAAAATTTTCATTCAAAATTTTGCTATTACAAGATTAATACAAAAAATATTTAATTTAAAATAATGTTTACTTTTATTTTCAACTTATTTGTTTAAATTAGTGCTTCTAGTTTTAGTGTACAATGTAATTTAAGTAAAAACGAATTTAAGTAGAAACTATTTTTACTTGTTTAAAACAAGACCTGCAAATTGTCAAATTTATTTTATTGAACTCTAATGTAGGGATTATTTACTGAAGATATTTCTGCTAAAAATATTTCTTAAAACAAAGCAGAGGGGTGGTAGGATCACAAAAGTTGAAAAACAGATAAAAGCTCACCAAAATAATTTAATAACACAATTATAAAAATTATATTTTTATATTTAAATTGTTTAATTATCATTGTTTGCCAGTTTTTTTTTCTTCTTGACAGTAACTTTCTAATTTCATTTTTAATGGATAACATTTTTTTCTGAAACCTTGTAAAAAAATAAAAAATAAATAATTGTAGGACAAAAATTGAAAAACTGACCAAATCTGGTAGACATTACTTTTAGGGGAATAACTTATTTGAAACCAATTGACACTGAGCACTAAGTTAAAACAACATTTTGTTACTTCAATAAATGATTTATAATGTTTTTAGATTGAAAAATAGTACCTGATGAAGTATCTTTGGTTCAGTTGAAGACAACCTGGTTTAATGGATAGAATAATAATGGGTTGTTACAAGAATCCCTATAGTTGCATTGGCGTAAATGAATTGAAATCAAGATTTTAAGTTAAATTTGATTTTTGTCAAATAAATAACCAGAGATAACAAAAAAAAACAATACAAAGAGTAAAAATTTGACTTGAATTTACTTAAAATAAAGTGCTACACATGAAGCTCTAGCAAGAATGCTGAGGTTAGTCTAATTATAGCTTTGTAATATTTCTTCTAATTCAAACAAAGTAGTATCTAGAATGGTCACTTTTTTTTTCTCTGCTATACTTTTTATACTGCCATTGCATCTGCCTTTATGTTGGCTATTATTTTTTGTTTTTTTGAGGTCATTTTTATGATTTCAGAGCTGAGGTGTTTCCTTGTAATGTCATTTGCAGAATCTTCTTTCTTTTTATTTTCTGCATCCAAATAACTAACATACATCATTCTTGAAGATTTGCAATGCTGTATTAGGGATTTGGATATTATTTTTAATGGGCCATCTGACAATGAATCTTGTATAAGCTTTAGAGAAATTGGTATCTTCTCTTTTAGGTTTCCTACCAAAATGTCCTTATTTGCAGAGTATCAACTGCTGCTTGCCCATGTGACAATGTGAAAAGGTTTTCTGTAACTCCACAGAATTGTGTATTCTACTTTCTCTTTAAAAATTTCATAGAAATGTGTCTACTCAACAGGAGCAACTTCTGTAGTTAAACTCTAGGAACTCTTGTTTATTTTCTTGGGCTATGTCAGTGAGTAATTTTTTTATATACAGCAAGAATTTGGTCACATTGCTGTGCAGTATACCATTTAGCATTCAGAAACAGCTTAGAGGAGCTTTTCAAATTTTAATATGACATTCCTCTGTTCACTAATCTTGAACAAAGCATCAAGAGATCTTGCTGCCACATAATTCAGTAGATATTTTTTCAGCAGATTCTTTGTTGTAGAGCGGAAGGTTAGACATTCTTTCCTGAGCTGTATGCCCAGCAGTTGGTTGCCAGGAAGATTCTCAGAGGATTTGCTAACAGCATGTTTGGTGGCAAAGCCAATGTCAACCTCTTTTAATGGTACATGAAGCTCTTTGTTCAGCACATTAAATTATCACAGGTTGAGTTGATGTGAAATTCTTTGTCATTGTATTATTAAAAAATCTGTATTGGGTCATAACATACTATAGAAATTATTCTTTTGCATGATTCCTAAGTTCATAAATGTTGTCTGAATTTGAGATATATATTATGATCATTATTCCACAAGTTGTTGAGCTAATATTCTTTATCTTCTTGATTTTTTTTTTTTTTTTTTTTTTATCAGTTTTGATTCACCCCTGTCCAATTGTAGTGAGGGTCCCTATTATCAGTAGTTTTGGATGTGTCATAGATTCTTGTGGACAATCAGTTTTTTTTTTTTCTTTTATAGTTAGACTGAGAAAAAAAAATCTGGCTACATATGCCAAATTAATTGACACATAGGCTAATCTTGGTACACTCAAGATATTAGAAACCCTTTTTTTATTTGCTGAACATAGCTACTCATTTATTCTATATTGGCCCATTTAAAAAAAAAAAAAAAACCCTTTTGTCTAACAAAATGAGAATATTCATCCAAAGAACTGGTACAATATGTTTGCCATTTTTTTTCTTTTTATTGGGAGGGAATAGCAAATCATTTATTTATGCATTTAAAGTGATGAATTTTGTCATATTTAAGCAATTTTAATTTCCCTTCTTTAACAATGCAATGAAACCATCATAAAGACAATTTTGTTTCTGTTTGAAATATAGACGAAATGATCTTGGACTCATTCGAGAATTGGATAATATTCGAAGAAATACAGTGAAAAATGTCAAGTAAGTATTATTCACTCATAATTAAATTAAAAAAAGTTGAAAGTTTGCAATTTTTAAATTCTTATTTTACTTATATTTAGAAAGGTAATTATTACATTGAAATTTACTTGTAAATGAATTTAATTTTCTTAAGTTATTCAATTTTTAAACACATTTTGAGTACCTGAAAGTTATTACAGCAGTTTATTATAGAAGTTCATTTCTCTGAAGTCTGTAAACTTATTTTGCATATTTTAGCAATAAAAATTTCCTTACTAAACTCTTATGAGAAAAATTCTTAGTCACTCAGTTTACACTTCTTTTAATGATATTTTAAAGTCAATTAAAATTAACACTAACAAAAAAAAAAGTGATGTTTTGCTGTAATATAACTTAATATTACTATTAATGTTATAACTAAAATAAAAAGTCTAACTTCTCGATTAGAATATTTTAATTTTTTCTTCTTTTATAATGCAAAAACAAAGATTTTAACCAGGATCAGTTTTATAAAGCATGTTTTTATTTTGTTCAGTTTCATACCCTGAAAAAATATTTTGTGCACATTCTACTCAATATAAACTAAATGACCTTTTCACCTTTCATTATCACAGTGTACAGATAAACACAAACTTCTTTCTTCTTCCTTCATTTTATTATTAAATCAAGATATCAACGTTGTTCATATTTTATCTAGATGTCGCACTATGCTCTTGGTTGGTGATGACTCCCCACATCTGGATGATGTTGTTAATATGAATGGCAGAATGGATCCACAAGAAACGGACTTTGTTAAGGTACAATTGCTTTGTCACTGTATCATGGCTGTTTAAAACCCTTGTTTTTGTCATATTGGAAAATCCAACATGATATTTGGCGAAAAATCCCATTCGTCAGTAACATTTTAAACACTTCCTAGAATGTAAAGTTCTTAAAGCAAATCTGTGCCAAACTGTTTTCCTGAATCCTTGATGACTTGGCTGTGCGAAAATGACAACATCAAGATGAAATAATGGAAACTGACCGTGAAAAACACAATTATGCGCAACAAGTTTTTGATTAATCAGTGAACTTCTGGACCTTTTCGGGCGACATTATAGGATCCAGATGGCTATTGTTTGCACATGGAATTATTCACTGGTAATTAATCTTCGATTTGGCTGTGGAAAATGTCACTCAGTAGTTAGCATTATGCCCACTTTTCTGAGAAAAATCACTTTTTTTTTTTTTTTTTTTTTATTAATGAAAAAAATGAAAAAAATATTTATTTTCACTTCAAAATAATATCATACAAACTTTGTCCCTTTCTCCTTAATTTAGTGTGAACATTATTGAATAAAAGTAAGGGCTAAATGGCCCGTCGATGGGAAATATGAAAGACATGCAGTGAAACAATGTCGTCTGCTAAATGTTGTCATCATCATCCGGGTCACGGGGTGTTAAAAACAAAACACATCAAGCCATTGTTCAAACATAGGTTATATCAAGCCCTACTAATGTAGACCCCCCCCCCTTTTTTTTTTCACTCTTTGCTCTTATCTGGGAGTGGTGAGTTTTATTACAAGCTGACAACACCTTGTTCTAAACGTTTATTGCTGGCTGGCTGACTGACCTTTGACCCAGAGACGTCAGTTTGGCTTAATTTTCCTTATCACTGCTATTTTTTGGGAAAAAACAAACTTTTGGTTTCTGGTGGTAAGGAATTGCAGATAAATCTTTCACCTTTTACTAAAGATTTCTGTGGCCTGTTGTCAATTTTTTTTAACCCCTGGCAGTCATGTAATTGAAAATTACCAATGGACTTTGTCAAATTTTGACACCCTAGGAATGTTGATTTCCTTCAAAACTCTCAATTTTATGCCTGAAATTGTTTGATTATGATTTAGGCTTTCTGATTTTCTAAAAAAAAATGGTTAATTTCCCATTAATGGAGAAAATTTTTGTTTAGAACTAGAAAAAATGCAAAATTTTCACTATTTTTTTCCCATTTTACCTCCTGAAAAAACCTTTGAGCCATTTACACCAGCTAATTTTACTTTTAAATGAAAGAATATATCCTTTGCTTCCAGAAAATACCTATTTTCATGGGGTTCAGATCAAGTTTCGTTGATATTTGTATAGATGATGATAAAATGGTTATTTTCCAATATTTTACCCCTATAAAAGTATGAAAATCCATTTTTTCAGAGAAAATAGGCTGTGATAAAATGGGTTTTGCCAATTTTCTAATGATTTTTACTTGGGATAGAAAATTTTTACCATAGAAAACCTGAATTGACTTTATTTAAGTTCAGTGGGGCTATAGGAAACCTCAAATAGCTGTGGTATAAAATATAATTATTTATTGGAGTACAGTTCGTCATAGACTTATACATTTATATTGTTGCTATACATCTCTTCATTACTTAAACATGAATATTTAAAAATAAACAGCACAAAAACTAATTTTATTTGTTATTTTTTTTTTTTTTTTTTAATTTGATATTTCAATGTGAGCAATTAATTAGGCAAATGTTGCTAATTTCTGTATTTTGACTGTAAAATCAGTATTCAGTATTTGTTTCTTGATCAAATTAACTGATGCTGAAGAAGTTATCAGGATGAATCTTCTATTCATGCATTATTGATATATAATCTTTAACTGTGAATTTGTTCTGTTAAGATCATCTGGATGAATTTGGATTTGTCAGCTGTGAATTTATCATTCACAGCTGACAAATCCAAATTCATCCAAATGATTAAGCAATTTTGAGTTAGAATGACATATGGAAAAATATTTATAATTTACCAACCCTGTTGAATAGGTTTTGCATTTTTTGTCAACTGTGTGGTAGTTTGCAAAGTATTTATTTTTTGTGTTTGAAAATGTTAGCAAAAAGGAAGCATTATCTTATATATCTTTGAAGGTTGGCTGTAAATAGCTAATTAGGATAAACATTAAATATATCAACTTTAATATCTGTTCTCATTTTATCATTAGTTTGTCATACAGCTAAAAAGAATTGGGTACAAAAAAGATTTCTGTTAAATATAAAATATTAAATATAAGTAATTTTCATCCTGCATCATCTTAAAATATTTGTGAAACATTTGCCAGGCATTTTCCTCAACTGAATTTCTTGCAATGTCCTGGAAACCTTGAAAAGTACCAGAAAATTGACAGGGCTTTTTCCAGGGTTTGAAAAGTCCTGGAAAAACAGCAATAGCCCAAAAGTTCCTTGAAAAATCCTGGAATTTTAGAAATTGGGCTGCCCAGATATCCTATTCCTCAATTCATGAAAGTCAAAGTGCTAAGTCCCAGAAATCTGACTTTTTTACAAGCTAAAATGTTCTTTAAGGAAAATGTTTTTTAGTTGTCAGTAATATTTAGCAATTATTGTGAATGGTGGTTTGTTTCTTTGATTAGAACAAGTTCATGACCTTGTAGTTACTTCTGTATTTTCTTGGCTAGGTGACAAGAAAGGGAGAAAGAATATGAAGACTTGTCTTCTCTTAGCAGCTACCCTCACTCAACAAGAAGGAAAAGAAAGATAAAAGGTGTCAGTCACCAGTAAACATTGAAGAAAAATTAATTCACACCCATTGAATTTGTAGTTGAAAGAAAAATAATTTATTATTTTACAGTAATAAAATACATTTTATTAGAATCTTAAAAATTTATTAGTGTTTTTAAACTTTGAACAATTGAAGAAATTTTATTCCCATGTCAATTTCAATTTTTGATCTCTTGTTAGCAGTGGGTGAGTGCTGAAAAAAAATAGATATTTTACGTGTTTGACTCAAAATGTAGATGAGAAGGATGATACAATAGAAAATGTGCCTTTTGATGTGTCTTAGGAGAGACAATGCATCTTTTGGAAATGATGAAATGAATATGCATACACCTGGATTCCTCCTCACAGTAATATGATTGGCTGGTGTCAGCCATAAATACAGACTGATGTGGGGGTACATGATGACGCCTATTGGCTATGCATATTGCCTACACCTATTGCCTACCACTTCAACAAGGACCAGTCCATTACAGCAAAACCACTTTGTTACTTCGAACAAATATATAAAGGAAGACCACACTAAAAAGATAATTATATTTTCCAAACTGAATGAATTTGTAAGAATTTTGTCAAACACAAACATACATAAATATTAGATATTGCCACTAATTTGCTGAAAAAAAACAGTATAAATGTAAAAAGGCTCCAAATTTAATAAATACAGAGTTTTATTGTCAAAATATTTGTTCGTTTTCTTTTAATGTATGTTACCCCAATTTATTTAATTTTTTTGAAATTTTGGGAATTCGATCCTTTAGCTTTCAATTAAAGCTAAAATGAAAGCTTCAAGAAAGCTTATTCATTTTAAACCTTAGATATCGTGAATTAGTGGAGGTCCTAATAAAGATGCTGCAAAGATTGAGAGTGGATTTCTGGCAGATAGGGCTATGCAAAATTTATCCACAAAAAAGAAATGTGTCAACCAAAGATCTGTTTGCATGCAGAATTGCAACAAAGACAATGTTAATCACCATTATTGAGAAACTTCTGGAAAAAATTTCCTTTAGATACCCTCTTGGAAGGTCAATTGCATGGCTGAACTTTGAATCTATTTGTGACAGTCTAAAAAGATGGACAGAAAACAAGTCAGATTGACATCATCAGTGCAAAGAGTTTCAGGAGGAGGAGGATGGAAATATTGCTTTCAAGAATTTCAACACGCATGAAGACTGTCTGGACATTTTGTTTTACTCTTCTTTTTCTAGCAACAAAGAGCATCAAAAACTGTGGAAAGTTGTTTGCAGATTGCTGGTACTCTCTCATGGACAAGCTTCAGTGGAGAGAGGTTTCTCAGTCAATAAGAATTTACACTGACAATATGAAACAGCAGACTCTTAATGCACAGCACATTATCATGGACTATTTGGCCACAGTTAGAGGTACTGGGAATGTTCCTATGACTAAGGCTCTTCTCTGCAGTGATTTCATTGCCAGAACAGCTTATAACCAATCCCTTGAAGCTGAAAATGAAAAAAGGCAGACAGAATCAGCTGGATAAAAACAGAAATCCATGGATATGGAAATTGATCTAAAGACCAAAAACACAAGCTTGAATGTTGCAAACAAGATTTGCTCAAGTCAGCTGACATCTATGCTGAGAAAGCTGAGCAGACTCAGAACTTCACACTTATTGCAAAGTCCAATGCCATTCAAAGATCTGCAAAGTACAAGTCCATAGAGATATCAAAATTGGAAAAGGAGCTGAATGCTAAACTAGATGGACTGAAAAAATATTAACATCATTGTCTTCTGTGCCATGTGCAATGAAAGTCATGGGTAGTAGGGGGTAACTAAAATGTATAGTCTCTTTGTGAAAATTTCTATTTGTAGTTCTGTTCAATAAAACCATTATACTTCATAGGAAATGTGCAGCAGTCAAGAATTTTTGTGACATTCACAAATCATGGGTAGTCTAGAAAGCTAAAATGTGTAGCAGTAAGAATTAAAGTGTGTAATTCAAAATATTCAAGTGTAGTAGAACTCCAAACTGTGTAGATCACTATACAAAATGTGTAACATAACCAGATCTGCATTCAGTTGTGTTTTCACCTTCAACACTTTGATTTCTTCACTACTTTCAACTGATCCATGTGATATGAATTATTGGAACCAGTTGTAGCTTTTCTTTGAACTTCTCATCTGTCAAACTATTAAAAGACAAATCACAAATTTTGTGTTTTTGAAATTGATGACCATTCACTTTGTGTGCGTGCATGTGTGAGTGCCAGTTTCAGTCCATTCTTTTTTCCTACAGATCTGTGGGACTCTTAATAAAGCTATTTTTGAATGATTCATATCATAAAAATTTTTTTGTATAAATTGTTACAGTATATAGTATTTTCAGTATACAAAGACCTCCATTTCCCTAAAAAAACCAAAAAAAAAAACCAACTATAACTTATCTTCCCTCATATTTAGATCTCCAAATTAAGGATTACATACCAAAGGAGAAAAAGTATCGCTATTATATAAAACTTTATTTTCAGAATATCTGGATCAGATTATGCCTAAATAAAGTTTTTGATCTTTGATTATTCAAAAAAATACCACTTTCTTCATTTTATGAATAGTATAGAATTATCAAAGATGTTTGAAACTTCTTATATATATATTTATTTTCTGTTCTTTATTTCATTGAGAGAGAGTTATTTGTTATATCTGCTGAAGCTTTTCTTATTTTGATTGGATTTCATAATTTTTCTTTTTCTAGATTGCTGATTGTGGTGGAATGCCACTTGAGGAGCAGCCAGCCAAAGTGTGCGAGGCTTTCCGGTACTTCCTTCAAGGGATGGGCTATAGTAAGTGCTTCAAATCTGTTCAAATTTAAAACTTTTGTTAATTTCATGCAAACTATGCTATCTTTAAATCAAAGCCTGGAAACACAAAACAAATCTAACTGGGCATTTATTGTGGAAAATAATTCACATAGGAGCATTTTGTTTAATTTGTTTTTTCATTCCTGCAGTGCAAAAATACACCAGTTGAAAATTTTATTCAAATGTTTACTTCATTGAAAAGATGAGCCAGTTTCTTTTCTGCTTGTTAGTGGCTGCTTCATTATTAGAAGAGAATAATTGATTATCATAGTAAAAATTGTTTATTTCAGTAACTTCTTTCTTTTGGCTTGTGGTTGGTTTTGTTGTATGCAAAATATTTGACAAATAATCTCATAGATTTTATTCAACAGCACATATGGATCCAACCTAACCATAAAATCATGAAATTTAATGATATTAATTTAAAAAGATTTTTCTTTTTTGAATATGCTAAAAACTAAATATATAGTTATTATCTATATACAATAGGTTATATACTGAGTTGCTTGAACTAGTGCTTATCTTAGTTGTCATTGTCACAGTGTTTCAGCCATTGTACTCACAGGCCTTCTTCATTTATCGTAATTGGTAATCTTCAAACTAGGTGGAGTCCAGTGGCTGAACATAGTGTTCTCATCTCAGTAAATTTATGTGTAATAATGATAAATCTCAATCTAAAAAACAGACAAAATAAAATATGCTACCCTTTTTTTATATTAAAGGCAAGAAATAATTACTTTTGATTAACATTTCTGTTAATCTGAAGTGTGTGTGTGTATATATATATATATATATATATATATATATAAATAAATGCACACACAGGTATGAGATAAGAACAAATGAAGTATAATTCCACTGTCTGTATCATTTAATTTTAAAAAAGGGGTTCAATACAAAGTAGATCCTAATATTATTTATAGTAGATTAAAACAAAAGCATGTTGAAAATTACTACACAATAGCCTTCATGTTTCACCACTAAGTTGTTCTTTTTGAGGTGATGATAAATAACTGGTGTTGTAAATGATTATTTTTAATTTCAAAAAGCAGAATATCCCCCCTTTTTTTGTTTGAAAGAGAAAATGAGATAACAACAAATCAGAATTAGAAAAAGGCCTGTGGGTTTACCCTGATTAACCAGTTAGGTATGTCAGACCTATGATAAATTCAAAATTAACCTAGAAAAAAGGGGAATTTTGATAATGGTGAAATATAGTCTGAAATAGAATCCTAGACAAGGTCATAAGTGGCAGACAAGAAATTGATACAAACTATAAGCAAGCGGTAACCTTGTATCATAATTTTTTTTATAAGATGCTAGGGAGAGGGGGGTAGGAAGATAATCAGATGTATAGTTAATTGTAACATAGATTTTGTAGTTGATAATTAAAAGGCTTCTTTAAGAATCCAGTGAATACAACTTAAGTGTTTAAAAATAAAAAACGAATTAACATTCATATAAGATGTTAATAATGCTGACTAATAATGCTTTTGAAATTAAAAATCTTTTACTCACCAGTTATTTACCATCACCTGAACAGGCACAACTTAATGCTGAAACATGTTCAACATGTTTGTTTTAATCTACTATAATATATAAGGTTAAATCAAAACCTATTTAAAATAAGTAAACTAATTAATTTCTCAAAATAAAATAATAATTACATTTAAAAAAAAATAATTCAATAACATTTAATCATTTTTGTCTATTATACTTTGCATCATCTTGCATCCTCCATAATTTACCTTTCACAGCTAACCTGAAGAATATTTATGGGTGTTCTTAAATTTAAAAATGTTGAAAAACTAACAATATATTTATTTCTGTTTATAAACACTTGTTGCTAAATAAAATCCTTATATTTGCCTTGATAAAGTCCATCAGAGGATGAAATGTCTCATTAAAGTAAAATTTTCCTTTTGTTTTATATATATATATATATATATATATATATATACACTATTATTTACTACATAATCTTACTCTGGTTAAAAGTATTTTAATGGTAGGAAATATTAAGTGCAGCATAGAATAAACTTTAATACAAATAAATTTTACTTTATATTTTGCATTTTAATAAACATTTTATTTTGTAAGAATGCAAAATGATGCACTTTGAAAGAGTAGTGAAAAAATTAAAAAAAAATAAAATATTTCTTGCTAAAAAGTTCTCATTTCTTACTAACTTATCCAAGTATAGGATTAGTGTAGATGGAATAAAATTCCAATAACCTAAAACACTATTCTTAAAAGAGTGCTCAATACAGAGTAGAGCAAATAGTGTTTATTCAAAAATTATAACATATGTTATAACATCACTACAAAAATAGTCATTTTGACTCTTTTTCGCAATCAACACCATCACTTGATAAGACACCAGAAATGTTGAAACAAAATGGCTGTTTTTGTTGTGATGTTATAACATATTTATAATTTTTGAATAAATACTTCTTACTAACTTGTGTAACCTTTACATTGTAAATTGTATTTTATCACTCCAAAAACATTTACAAGACAAATTAGTATTATCATGAGAATTATCTTTGACAAATACTTTGAGCAAATAAATCTGTTTATCTTGCATTTTAATTGTAAATATATTTATATAAACTTTTACATTATCTGCTGCATTCGTTTTCAACTAGCAGTAGGTTTTGTTGTAAGATGAACATTTTTTTTTTTGCTTTAACATCTATTGCATTTATATGCTTTGCCTTGGGTGCACACATTGCTCAGTGGTATCAGTATGCATGTGTAGTCATGCCTGGTTTCAATGGATAACTGTGTTTTATGAAAATTATACAGTAAGTCCCTATAGACATGTATTCATTCATTTCCATGTACTGCTACTTTTATTTTCTTACCTGAGAAATGATGCTGAAAGTAAACAATATTTTTGTAAGATGTCTTTTACTGGTTTTAATGCTTCTTTTTTGATATTTGGTTCTTTTATATCAGTTGTATTTTGTAGCCAAATGAAGCTGTGTTTTGATTTCATGTGTTATATAGTTAAAATTGTATTTAAGATGTTGTTCCCATCTAAGGAAATCTTCTCACCACAAAACTGGCAATAGCTATAGAATCTACAATTTTTAATACAAAGTATGAAATATTTTAAATTATCTAAGAAGAGAAATTATTCTATGTTCCATGACAATGTATATTACATGTTTATGTTTCTTGTTTAGGTTTGAAATTTTTTTTTTATTTTTATATCAATTACCTATTGAAGATAACTGAACACATTTTAATTGGTTAACCTTTTAGCTTTCTCATAGAAGAATTATCTGTCCCTATATCTAAGCATAAAGAAGTAGTACTTTATATTTCTTACTCTAATATTGTGTTGCTGTTTCTCTATTTTCTCCCCTGCTAAAACTTGCTTCACAATTTCGAGCTTGATTGCTATCTCTTTAATCAAATATTATCCATTTATATTCAAAATTTATATTATTACAATAAAATCATATCACAAGCATCATTTTTAGTGTAAGTCTTTTCAACATACACTTTAATTATTTTAATTTGCATAAATGAATTTGGTTGCTCTTGCTATTAACAAATTTGTCATGACATAAATTAAAATTTTAAAATTAATAAGTTAGTGGTTTGGGGGCGGGGTTTGATCCTGAGATTGATTTTCTATTTATCTTTGCTTTTTATGAGGTACTACTCAAAAGCTAGGTCATTTGAACAGCACGTACCATCTGAATGTATTACAGGTTTTGTGAACTAGAACATTGTAATAAAATAAAACCTTTTATTGAATCTGTTCATCTTTTCTTGTATTTTATTTTTACATGTAAAGAATTATCTATGCATTGAAAAGAACATAACTTTATCAAAATATTTGGTTGTTCAGATTAGACTATAATACATAGAAGAAATTTTATTACAAAGCATCTTAACAATTTTAAAAATATATGCACACGATTTAATAAAATTATAAAATGTGTTAAAATATTTTATTTACAATTATCTAAATACTTTGTAAATTTGAAAAGTTTACTGCAATTTATTTTTTTGCAAATTATATCTTACAAGATAGGTTTTATTACAGAAAATGGAGAATGAACTTTTTTATTTTTTTTATTAGATTTCATTTTAATCAAGAAACATTTAAATATATTTTTGAATATCATTTTTATGCATTTGCTTTCTGTAATAATGTAAAATTGAATTAATTCATGACAATTATTTTCAATACTGATTTCTGAAATTGATCTTTGTCTTCACCCCAAAATATAGTATATTCTTAATTTTGACCTTTTAACTTTGAAATTACCAGTTAATAAAATGTTAAGCAGACATTGAAAACCTACATATTTGCTTGTTTTCATTGTAAATCAAACCTGAACATGTTCTGGTGAGAAGCTTGTCCTTTTGATACTAATTCTGTTTTTTTCCAAGTAATCTATCTTGAGAAATTTGCTTTCACTCCTCTCAATGGCTGTTTGGATGAGTAGATAATTATTTGATATGTATTCCTCATCTGACACTATGCTTTCTTCAACTGTGGACTGTAATGAATGCTACTGCTCATGTTATCTTCTTCCCTATGTTCCTTCCTCAGGCATTTTTTGTGCTGAAGGAAAAGGCTGCCACAGTTGCCAGGTACTAGTAATGGCTCACTGCATGTTTCTGCTGCTGCAACATCTTTATCATCATCATCATCTTCACTCAGCTTAATCAGTTAGTTTGACCAAGAAAGCTTGCCTTAAGGATAGAATTTAGTGACCCTATTTAGTTTTTTGTATCTTTTCACTAATTTTCTCTATCATTTAACTTACTTATTCTCAATGCTTACACTTTTACTAACACTTCTCTCATTTCAGTCATGTTGATTCATCTTTTTATAGAGCAGAATCAAACTGATTTTTCAAATGCAGTGTCAAATTGATACTTTCATTACATAAATTCACTGTCCCCCAAAATATTTGGCTTTGAATTTCACATAATTGCATTAATACTGGTGTTTG